TATCTTTATAAAAATTGGGTTTATTTTTAACAAGGACCATGTAGTTCAAAATTCAAAAATTGCGCAATATACATATGCATGTATGTGCATATAAAAAAAATTAACAAGCTTTTATAAAAGTTTTAAGATTTTTATTCTGCATTAAAGAAACACATATGAAGCAGTTTTAAAGTCCATTGAAGTTCGGTATGTATAATGGAATACAAGGTTGAAGTGCCTCAAAGCATGCATTTTCTGTCATAAAATTCATATGGATGAAAATGCGCAGTACCGCAAAAAAATAACACCAAAAATCAATGTGAGTTTGTGTTACTTCAAACCTGTGTTCTATTATACTAACATTTTATGGACTATAAAACTGCTTCCTATGTGTTTCTTAAATGCAGAATAAAAAGCTTTAAATTTTTATGAAAGGTTGTTGAAACTTTTTTTATATACATATATATGTATGTATGTATATTGCACATTGCTTTAATTTTGAATTACATGGCCCTTGTTAAAAAATAAACCCAATTTTAATTAATTTTAAAGATAACTAAAATGAAGTAACAAAAAATTAATTGTTAAAACTTACATTATATTAAAATATATTAAAATTTTTGTTTGTATTTTATGACTGAATGTTTACCTTATTTTTCTTTTTTATTAATATTTAAATATTTATGTATATTTAAAAGACTTTGAAAAAAATTCGATGAGTTAAATTAAACTATTTTAAACTAAAAAAATTGGATTTAATTTTCTAGCAACTTTGAGCGTCTTTTTGCAATTCGCTGGTATATCGTCCTTGCGGGCTGCAGGGGAGTCGTTTTTGCGACCCGCCGGTAAGTCGTTTTTGCGACCCGCTGGCGAGTCATTTTTGCGACCCGCCGGCGAGTCGTTTTTGTCGTTACGACGTCGTTTGGCAAATTGGGGTGAAGTGAAAAGTATAAAATTAACACCGAAATAAATGCGGTGTAAACGTGTTATTTTTATCACTTCGCAATAACGCAGAACGAGAATTGGCCCTCTGGACTTCCTCTTTGAAAACCCTG